TCTCTGTCTCTCTGTCTCTCTGTCTCTCTGTCTCTCTCTCTCTCTCTCTCTCTCTCTCTCTCTCTCTCTCTCTCTCTCTCTCTGCGTGCCTGCGCGTGTCACTCTTCCACCGCGACACTCGAGGCACCCGATGCTCCTCGGGTCCGAATCCCTTTTGATAATCTTGTCTCCTGTAAAGTGTCACCTTTGGCGAAAGAGTTTAATCGGGAAAGTCGAAGAGTAGCGCAGTACCTAAATAAGAATTTGTGGCTCCGGTCGTGATGGGACCGATCACTGCAAGAGAACGGGAAAGCGTCCCACAGTCGAAGTAAGACAAGTGTTTCCTTTCTGGTGATAAGATATCGAGCCTATATCGAACGCATCGAGAAGGTATCGAAGATACGTCCAGAGGTCCGGAGTCCCGAGCCTTGAGCCTTCGAGCACCGCGACATCCAGGGCCATGTCGTTACGCCGCTCCAGAGGCTGCTAATCCCCAGGACAGTCACGGTGGGGTGTGCGATGCGAACTGTCGAGGACGCAGGCCCTGAAAGTACGGGGCCCGCCGGAGCGACGCGCCAGGCCCGGGACAGCGAACACGTGCGCGATCAGGATCACGATCGGACCGCCGTCCATCCAGTCCATCTACCTCGCACGCCTTACCACTCGGCGCCGATAGCTGCGGACACGAACAACAACCACGATCATCATCGAAATCTCGAGTCGGCCGAGCCGATCGCCACGCAACATCACGATCGCTGGAACAAGTGTAAGTCAAAGAATAATTTTCGAGTTTTCGTAGCACTCGCCGCTTCACGGCGTCGATGCTCGAGATTAATGCGACGGTGCGACCGATGGCTCCGGAAAAGGAGCAAACTACATCTCACTACGTCTCTCGAAATCTCCATTCCATATCCTCTCCTTCGGCGCTTCGTTGCGATCTTAACGATCAGCGCCGACGCGACTCTGGCGCCGTCGAAGCGTCGATCTGCAGAACCGCGAGGCGATTGGTCGATCGATTCGAAACAATCCTGGATTCCCGAGCTCCAGCGTACATTCTAATCTCGAAGAAAAATTTAAGGAAAAGGTTAATAGGTGTGCTCCGTGCGGTAGAAACTGTGGATGCGCCGGCGAAGGGTCGTATGGAGAAACGGGGGATCCCCCCTCCAAATCTGCGACACCGCACAGCCGACCAATCGCGAGTCCTTGGGAAAAGGATACAGGGAAGGCTCGAGGATGATTGGTGGAAGATTGCTCGAGGATCCGTATTAAGAGATTAAGAGAGCTGCGACGGTAACTCGAGGAACGGAGAGGGAAGATGCGAAGATGCGTATAGACTTGGTACGGAGACGCGCCAGGGTGCTCCGGACTCCGTCTCCTTCTCCGTCTCTTTATATCTTTGGGGCGACCTCGACGGCCGCTTTAATTAAGACTCGCGCGGCCATCGACTTCCCGCTCGAAGCATCGATTTCCGCATCGTAAGCAAGTAGCTGACCGATATTCTTTGTCGCATCTACAGCGAACTTCCGGGTCCGTCCGAAAGACCCGAAGATCCATTCCACGATCTCCTTCGACCTCTCAAAGATGGTCGCCACTCTTACAATTAGTCTCTCGTGAGCTCGTCGGCCTCCGCTTGGGAGCTACCCCAATCCGGCCGATTGGCCGCGATAACCAGGGCGCCCCATGGGGCAGCAACGTCCAGCCGTGAAGCCTCACTTACCATTGCTCGATGACATTCTGAATATGCGGGTGAACCGTCTCAAGTTATTTCACGATTTCGAGATATCGATAAGATCTATAGGTGTGCTTAAGTAGTTTAAAGGAACATTTTCAGTCAGTGCTACAAGTCAAAAACCAATCGCTTTGAGGAATGACTCTCTCTGTAGTAGAGTAACTTTGAGAAAGGAAGCCCGAGCGTACCGCTTTACCTATCCACTTGGTGGGTAACCGAAGTCGATTGCGTGTCCTGATCACGAAGCAAAGATTTATTGCGCCTTACCACTGCACTGCCGGTCGCCCGGTCGAAGTGACGAATTCCCAAGGAACTTTGGGAAAAAAGCTGCTATCCTTTTCGACGAGCTCCTTCGTCAGAGGACACGGCAGCAATCCTCGTGGTGATCACGATCAAGAGATTTTCCCGTAAAATATGCGTGCTTCCCGCGATAATTAATTTCGGCCTGTTCTCCGAGTAGTTTCGATCGGACGCTCTCAAGAAATAAGAAAAGAAGGTGAGCGCGCTTGAAGAGCCTAAAGAACGGCGGGTCTACGTGAGGTTCAAAGCGCAGGTGCCTATACGTGTGTCGCGCCGGCACATCAGGATAAATCCGTGCTATTACGTAACTCCTCGCTCACCCCTTTGACACGCACACGCACGCGCACGCGCACACGCCCGACGAACCCTGGGCTCTGCGTGCGCGCGCGTGGAGGCTAAGCTACGTGTCGCACGCTCGCCTCAACGCGTCTTTGCCGTGCAGGAAGCTCGCGGCTCGAAGCTACCGCGTTTGGCGCTCCGATTGGTGCTGTGTCGTCGCACGAGTCATCGCCGTGAAGCTTCAGTGAGGCCAACTGCATTGTTTTGCGACTCGACTAAATATATACATGGCGCGATCCACGACTGCTTGGCTAGGGCACAAAGACCGAGTCACGTGCCGTCACACTTTTCACGTTTTCCCACTGCCGGGGTTGCGAATAACGAGAAGCCGTCGGAGCCGTCGGAGCCATCGGAGCCATCCCAGCGCGCTGGCCTCTCTATCGATCTCCGATCACGGAGTCGGCGGGTACCGCGTCGATTGGGACAGGAACGACGCTGCTGCTGATTTTGAAGTGGCCTCGCGGCAGGGCAGGAGGTTTCTGCTTTTGCTTGATGATTCCGATTAAAGTGTCGCGCCACCTTTGGCATCCTACGTACACTGGTAGTATACTGGCCAGCTTGAAGCTGAAGGTGCGAGTGGCGAGTGGGGACGCATGCCGAGGCGGCCACCAGTCCAGTTTTAATTCCTGACGTGGGTAGCATTGGACGCGTCGATAATATCGTCGACGGAGGAACTAGGGGTTCGGTGAGCGTCGGTAGATCGCCAGGTGGGCGCGTGACGACGCCGACGTCGGGAGCGTCATCGCTGACGTCACGTATACGCCCCCGCCTGACATCGACCGTCGCTCAAGACGTCACACCTCTCCAAGGACGACGCTATTTCAGGCAGCGTAGACTCTGTCGACGTCGACGTCTCCGTCACGCGACTCGTCCAGTTGTCCAAACGCGAACGTCGGAGCACCGCAGACTCATCGGGAGAAGCGAAGAGACGTTTTTGGCAGTGAGCGTTAAAATTGGCGAATTGCGTCTCTCGACAGGCGAGTTCTTCTTCGGCGATTGGCAGGTGCGCTACTGAGCGCGTCCGCGAGTGAGTGCCGTTTAATGGTTCTGGTGTTACCTTAACGCGTGGAAGGTGCTTAAGAGTGCGAGCGAGTGAGCGCGTCAGACGGGATAAGGGCTCGAGAGAGAGAGAGAGAGAGAGAGAGCAGGGAATGATCGATGCTTCTGCGGTGGACGACTGGCGAGCACGTACAAAGTCAAGTGGAAGAGCAGCACTCCGTGTGGTTGTGTGGCTGTGTGGTTCTATATCAAGCTGGTCAGGACTGCAGCAGCCAAGGCTTAACTCACGCAACCTCCACATCCTCAATGCCAGTTCCCAGGTAAACAAACGACAGAGCACCCTCGCTTCCTCCCGTGGCATTTCATTAATCGACAGATTAGAACCTTCGCTCCTTTCCTACTCTATACTCTCCATGACGGCAGCCACTGCTTGGAAGTTGGCATTGCACGCGATGGCCAATTGGCAGGCGATGGGCTGGATGCCGACCTGAGCCGATTTTCATCCTGCGGATGAAGAGGGAATTTTTAAGTCCCGCGAACCCTTGCAGCGCGAAACATGATCAGCTGACACTCTTCGGCATGCGTGCGCGTGTGCCGAAGTGTACTTGGCAGCACACACTGTGGAACAGCAGGAGTGTAGAGTGGTGCGCTGCAGTGGCTGATTGTCAGCCAGCACAGCACGTGCTGCCGATCGACCACTTGTCGCCGTGAACACATGTCCTGCCTTGTCCTCGCAACAATCGATGAGCATGGAAAGAATCAAAATGGACATATCCTCTCTCCTATCAATAATACATTTACTGGACGGATCCCGCTCCATTCCTTTATACGGAAGGTGCCTTAGATTAAGAGAGAAGTAGCCGAGAGACGCGTCAGTGGTTGTGTGCGCCAGCACACGATGTGGACTCGCACCAGAGTAAAGAGCCAGAGTAAAGGCAGCGAGGCAAAAGATCGATCGCCGGAACTGCGGCACAACTGTGACGTCACGGTAGACGCTAGTATCATATGACGTCACGAGTGGAAGGGAAAACGGATGGCGTGTGGGCAGCGACAGCTGGGTCGCTGGGCTACCGGCCAGCCGGACGGACAGACGGCAGTTGCCTTTCCACACGTGTCCTGGGCCGGGGGACGGGGGGTGGCGCCGTCAACGTTGACGTCAGGACCGCTCGTGGAAGATCAGGTGGTCGACGGGACGCATGGAAGGGGCAGAATCCAAGTAGCAAGGCCACGCGAGTCTTTAAAGGGGAACCGACGACACGCGCCCGTTTTTTCAACAGCTCGTCTCACCACCCACTCGCGGCTCCCGCATTCTGTTATTCCATTGGCATTCGAGAATGACAGGTTAGCCGATGCCTGTCAGGATTGGCAGCTGGCGCCGTCGGGGCTGGGGCTCGTTTCTTTAATCGACGGATTATCATTTTAAGTTCGATTGCGCAAAGAATCTTTGCAATATCCCACGGAATCGGCCTGCGCGCCGCGTAGCTCCTTTCCCTCCTGATAAATCGATCAAGTTACGTGCGCGGCGCGTGGGTGTCGGGATCCTTTTGGGAGGCTGGGACGATCGCGGCGACGCCAAGGAGTTTGAAGATGCGCGCCGGAGGAGCTTTAGCCGGGAAGCTATAGAGAGGGAAGAGGGGAGGGAAGGGCGTCGCGACGCCAGGCGCCGCTTCTTCTCTAGCGCCACGTTCGGATTCGTGCCGATGAGGCACGTCAGGGGAACCGATGAGTTCTGTATAGCGCAGTAGGCGGAACTCGAAGAGCGAAGGAAATTAGGAGACGAGGAACGCGACCACCGCGACCACCGCGACCTTACGGACGAGCGTCTTATTGATTATTGGGACGATCGAATCGATCGACGTTGATTACGCCAAGTCGATTCCTGTCTTCGCTCGAGAGAATGCGATATGGACGCAAGTGCTGGCCGCATTTTCCGAGAACAAACGTCCATTCGGTTGGATTGCTCCTCATTTGTCCGAACCACCGTTCACTCCTCCCGCCCACGTGGATGTAGCCGCGTGCGCGCCGGAAACACAATACACTCGCGCTTTCCACTATGATTTTTATTTCCTTCCGTTATCTTTCCTTTCCTTTCTCTTTCTCTGTCTCTCGCAATATTTCTCACGAATCTATGACGCGATATTCCGACCTGTCTGTTCGGCATAATTTATTCGCGATAGGAACTATTCTATGCGAGCAGGGAGACGGGAAAGCGACGCCAGTTGTCGCCGCCACGGGAAGTTACGGCTTATTTATGGAAATTCATGGTGAAACGATTCGGCAGGCAACGCGCTCCTTTCACCCACTAACCCGATTTTTGGCCCAATCAACGTGGATTCCGTCTAAACTCAAAATCTCAACTCCCTAAGTGCATCCGAACCGAATGGCATTCTGACTGTTGGCGGATTTGCAAGTTCCAGGAGACGCGAGGAATTCGAAAAGATGAAAGACCTTTGAAATACCTAGCGAAATGACGCGATGAAAATTCTTTATCTTATTTCCTTATGACTTTACATCCCTTAGAGAATGAAATGGCAGTACGATGAGAATTCAGCACGACAGCGGGTCCTGGTGGGCACTGGTGGGCACTGGCTGGCCATTCGCCAGGCTAGCCACTATTTAGGTGTTTCGCAGCACGTACCAACATTGCAAACTCCTCGAGCACGTTAAACGGGCGACCGATAGACACTGCGTAAGGTCTTATCAGGAAGTTTGATGACCTTGAAAATGCAAATGCCACGCGGGGTTGCGACAAGACCGGGACTAGGGAGGGGAGAGAGGCAGGGAGCTCACTCGCATCCAATCCTCGAAAGTCGTTCGGTATGCGCCGCTTGAACCCAACTAAATCACTTGTTCGCTGCAATCTACGTTCTTTGCCTATAAACGAGTCACTCAATCCTTCAGCTTCGCACGTGAATTTTACAAGACACTCTTAGGCAGGAAGCATCCCTTCGCAGTATGGGAGCTCAGAAGCGCATTCCTATTCGGGGGCCTTATTATCTTATCCCTGGACCACACCGACGGCACACCGTACAGTGGTCAGCAGTCTGCCGAACGGAAGGCATCGGAACAGTCGCCCCGGTTCGATCTCCACTCGGAGCCGACTGAAACGGTTCGGTTCCCGTTAGAGCCGCGGGGGCCATGGTTTTGGCCGTTAGTCGGACCCGACTTACACAAGACGCATCGCACAGCCTCTCTGGAATTGCAACTTTCCTCGCGTTCTAAGCTAAGGCGGTATATTCTATTGACACCTCTTAGGTCGGCTGCAGGTGCAACCAGAGTTCCGTTCAGTCGCCTTAGAGGCCGCGCAGGCCTACGGGCCTGCAAGTTCATTCATTGAACGAACTACTCCCGACCCGGTCCTCCTGCCTCGCTCGCTTCGCCTCTCTTTCCTGGCCTACGCGCAGCGTCGATCCACGTGCTGGATGCCTTCGACGCCTTCGACGCCTTGGACGCCTTCGACGCCTTGGACGCCTCGGACCGGACCTTTTCGATTAAACGAGCAGCTCTAGCGATGGTCGCGCGAATATCAACGATCCTTTGAAATACCGAAGACTCTTTGCTATTCGTGCAACGCCTCCCGCGGGGACATTCGCAACGTCCGTTTTAAATGGTCGATCGACTGACGACTTGGCGACATGCTTTATTCAGAGCATGAGCGCAGCCACGCCGAGACGTAGACTCCTTCGTCTTAAGAAGGAAGGAAGGAATTTCTTATCCCGATTGACGACGAGTCGCGGCTGAAGCGAGCATCTTCCGTGACAGGAGGCAATTGCAGAGAGGACTGCAGGTGCAGCTGTACCCAGTCGGGCCGCGTGCGAAAAGAGGAGAAAGATACATCTCTTCTGACGGCCTGCTAGACTGCTAGACTCGGAGTGCGTCCTCGCCAGCGACCACTCTGTGAATTCTTAAGCCGCGTTTATACGATGATCATCGGCTGCACCGACACGTATCGCACGTTATGTTATACTTGAGCCCGCTGACCGCTCGCCCGTGGATGTGTTAAGTGAATGCTTCCGAAACTAGGAGGTCAGAGGTCAATCTTCGCGCATCGGGAATATCTATTTCGAGGTCACGAAAACCGTTCCGACCGGTATGGGTGTCGCGTATGGGCAGCTCCAACGCATACCAACCAGAGAGCTGAGTTGATCCTATCTCGAGCTGAGCCTCGCGGTGCTGGGCTCAGCTCAGCAGTTCACACGCGTCTCTCCCGTCCTTCCCCGCGACTGGCCCTGTCGCCACCGCCTGGAGAAATTTAAAGGAGAAATCGATATCGATATTTGCCTGTAATAAAGTTCGCATGCGACTCTCGGTCCAGCTTCGAGGAAGATTCAGGCCGCCTTGCGAGTCGGCTGAGCGACTCAAAGCCGAAGAGCGAGTCCGCGAACCTGAGGACAGCCACTCGGAGAGACTCCTAGAGAGCCGAAGACCTCCTGCTGGAGTCCAGCGCGAGATTCTGTAGTTGCTCTTAAAAAGTAGCGACCAACTCGCAACTCGGTCGACTCTGGCTAAGTTTATACGTAGCAATTATACGGATGGCAACCGGTTCTCCATCGACTCCATCAGGCGGGAATCCTCCATCGGCTGCTGCCTGCCGCTTCCCACTACAGCCCAGTCCAGCCTTCGCTGTTTTTGACTCTCCCAGTTTCCAGATCCGGCGTATCCACGCTGGCTACTCGTCATTCTCCTCCCGAATATTCTGATTCCCAAGTCGACATAAGGCTGATCCCCAAATAGCGCACCTCCAGGACATTCTCGTACGTCCGTAAGCTATAAAATACTCAGGCACGCATATAGCGAAGGTGGCAGATCAGGTAAATGAAGAAGATCAAGCAGATACCTACATTCTCCGATAGATACCTGTTAATCTCCCTGGCCAGCGCCCACGCCTTTTCTACAACTCGCCGCCAACCCGCTACAATTATTATTTCTGTTTATCGAATTTTCGAGTTTATCGACTAAAGGAAGCTATCGAGGCTGCCCAATGTCCTGCGATGCGGCGTTACACTAGTGCATATTCGCATCTTCCGCATATGCATTTGCATGAAGGATCATTCTTCATTCGTTTACAAGAGCAAAGTGCATCAGGCGACTCGAGAACAACGCGCAGTGTCCCTTCCTTCGAAATAACCGATGCCGCAGCAGCAACGGATAAAATTGAGCTGGTCGAGGGAGATGGGAGAGGATGCGTTCAGGAATAAAGACGGGAATACAAATAGGAAGGAAAGCAGCAGCTACTGCTTGAGGCTGTAGAAAGCGCGGAAGGATTAGTTATATTCGCAAAGACTCGTGGGAGAATGTTTTTCCTCTGAATGAGTAAACG